TGACCACCTCCAGCTTCCCAAGTTTCATAGATCTTACATTCCAGGTTCCTATGCAGTATTTTTCTTTGCAGCTTCGGACTTTCCTTTCACTTCCAGGCACGTCCACTGCTGTGTGTCCTTTCGGCTTTAGCCCAGCCACTTCATTAGCTCTGGAGCTACTTGTACTTGTCCTCCGCTCTTCCTCAGTAACATGTTGGACGCCTTCTGACCTGAGGAGCCCATCTTCTAGCGTCATATCTTTTAGCCTTTTGTTTCTAATCCACTATGTCCTGTCCGTCTTGGGTGTCCCTGCACGGCATAGCCCATAGCTTCCCCGAGTTACTCAAGCTCCTTTGCCATGACAAGGCAGCAATCCGTGAAGCAATGAATACTCCATACCAAATCGAGCAGATCACATGCAGGGCTATCCATATTTAATTTTTTCAACCTGTGCATTATGATGTCTTGTGCTGCATTACGATAATTTAAAGTATGCATAAATATAAACAGCCTAGAAGTAAACTTTGCAAATAGATCAAATCAAGCCTGAAGTATCTGCGGAGGCAAAAATGTTGAAACTGAGGCTGTCCCACTTTGGGTGCATAATGAGAAGGTGAGATTCTCTGGCAAAGACAATAATGCTAGGAAAGGTGGAAGTAGGAGAAAATGAGGAAGACCAAATTGACTCGCTAAAGAAACTCACAGGCTTGAGTGTACAAGAGTCAAAAAGGCCAATTAAGGACAAGACAGTATGGAGACCACTCATTTATAGGGTCATTATAAGTTGGAGATGATTGGACAGCACAGAACAACAACAACAAACTTTACAAAAAAGAGAGTCAAAACCTGTATTTCAAAATTCCAGAATGTTTAATAAACCGGGATACCTGCCCTGGATGTAAATTGTTTTGGGTGGGCCTTGCTTAGAAGGATGGAATAAAAATATTTTAAAGCAAAATAAGATTGCTTTATCAGGATTCTTGATTACAAAGCTCCATACTTCCAGAACTTTTTTAAAAAGAGTGAAAACATTTTTATAGCCAATTATAGTTTCCTCTTCCATTTTTAATTTGCTGGTAAATATAGAGCATTGCTGTAAGGTATTCTTTGTCATGGATCCATATTTTAAGAAGAAACAAATTGCTGCCCATTTCACATTATTTTCAGTATCATAACAATCTTACTTCCATAAAGTACTCTTGTGTACTTCTAGAGTTATTTTAAAATATAAAGTACTAGTTACTGTGAAAAGGGGCGGGCTACTGAGATTTAAGCTCTTCTTATGCTTTCTCTGGGCAATTGTTGTTTGTACCTCATACTCTGCTAACTTTAAAAGGAATTAATTAAAATTTGTCTTGTAGTTGTAATCTGCTCTTATTCTGTCCCTCTGCAGGTGTTGTTTTTTGGATTTGGATGGCTGTTTTTCATGCGCCAGCTCTTCAAAGACTATGAGGTAGGGATGATCAGAGCACATATGCCAGTTGTAACATAATAGACTGCAACTCTTTTGTCTTTTTTTCTCAATTTCAGGGGGCAATTGTCCCTTTCAGATCATAAGTGGCCACTTACAATCTGGAAAGAGAAGCTTGTAGTGTCCACTATATAAAATGAGCTAATGCAACGTGCTTCCTTACAGCTATAAATCTGTGCATATACAATTGCTTGAGAGTAACCCTCATTTAGGTCAACAAGACATATATGCAAGCAGACACACAGAAATTATGAAGGGGTAGGCGGAGTGGGAATTTTTCCTTCACATGCTGACCCTTCTGTTTGTCCTTACAGTTTGCATGTGCCCATAGGGCCATGCAGGATTTTGCAATCAGGGGAAAGCAATATTTTCTTCATTTTCAGGAAATATTTATCATATTTGGAAAAAATATAAAGGAAGGGAAATATTGCTTTTCCCTGCTCATGACTCCATGAACTTACATGAACTGTAAGGGTGAATGGAAGGATCAGTGTGTGAATGGAAACTTCGCACTTTGCATGTCCCTTCATCCTTTCTTCCCATACCTTCTTCCACTCATCCATTCTACTTTTTTTTTGTCTTGAGATGGATGGACTCAGGGAAGTGGCAAGGATGAGGGCCTATTCAGCTTAATTGGACATCACTTTTCCATTCCCAAGCTCTCTAGGCTAGTGCATCTCTAGGGAGTTTAACTTAAAGAGGTAAATTGCCACCACCCCATTTAATATATCCAATAGCATAGTGAGACTAAAGCATTGTGTTCGTTACCCCGACTTCCTCTCTTATCCAAAATTCAACTAGCAACCTGAAATATTTTTTTGCATTTTATTAAAAGAAAAAAGAAAGAAAAGAACAACACAGTTCATCTTTTTACCTTGAAAAAGGTAAAAAAGTGAAAACTCCACTCAGTTACTCAAAATGGATTTCTCAGAACTATGGAGCAGTAACACAAAGCAGACTCAGAGCATTTCCAAAGAAAGGTCACACTATAAAATAAAAACATTCTAAACTGACCTCTTCTATACTTGTGCCAAAGCAGAGTAGGCTGGCAGATGCCTGGTTTACATGAGAATAAGACAACCCACAGGGGCACAAAGATTCCCCCCTTGAGAGGATCCTACCACTTAAAGAAACTTGCACTGTTGATTTTTCTCTTATTCTAATTAATGGGCCATTTGGTGACTTGATGCTCTAACCTTAATGAACTTTCATCTCCAATAATACTGTTTGATCTCTTATCAGGACAATGGGTAGTTTCCTCAGGAGAACTCTTTTCCCATAGCCAAATAACTACCCTTTAGGCAGGAAGGGACACACATCAGAAAATGGTTTAGTTTGCTTTGAAATATTCTGCTTTTACAAGATAGCATAGGAATCCCAGATCCTTCTTCCAGCTTCTACTATGAAATGTTTGGAAGGGAAAGGCAAAGTGGGAAATTTCCCTTAACATGCTTCTGGTTGTTCTTACAGTCCTTAAGTCATAAGGTTAAGTACAGGTGAAAGCAATATTTTCCATACAGTACTTCATTTCCCTCTCTCAAATACTTAATTTCTCCACGCTTACTATATGTTTTGTTTGAGAACTGTCACCGAACAATTTAGAGGGGATTTTCTTGGTCTCTGAAAAGGATATTTGCATTTTGCTGCACAAAATGTAATGAAACATTAAGAGCAAAGAACTGTTGGAAGCTAAATAATTCTCAGATAAACCATTACTGCAAATTGTATTTCAGCAAAAAATGCATGTTCAACTATAGGCCTCATTGTATTTAAACATGCATTTGTGCTTTCAACTGTGGTAATCTACTGTTTCTTCTCAGATATGTTATCAAATTCCCTCCTTACAGACAAGGTATTTATTTCTGTCCTTTTAAAAATATTGCAGGTACGACAGTATGTTGTGCAGGTTGTCTTTTCAGTCACCTTCGCTTTCTCCTGCACTATGTTTGAACTTATCATTTTTGAGATTCTAGGCGTATTAAATAGCAGGTAAGTAGAACAACTAATTTTGGAGAGGCTTGTTGTAGTCTTAATATAGTTGATGTGCTCATTTATTTGTTTGCTTGTCACTTTATAAAGTTTTGTTTTGTCTCACTCTAAAATGTGAAGTTTATTATTTAAGTGCAACACGGGATGGGATAAAGGTATAGAGGCAGAAATCCTGTTGGGCAGGTTCCGTTTGCACAACTGAAATGACATCACAACTAGTGGTAATATGCTGCTGATTAAAGTCTTCCTTTTCCAATTATGGGATGCATGCAGCTTTGTCTCATGTTTGAGTCAGGTACAGTGTTGCCTCGCTTAACAGGCACCCCGTTTAATGACGACTCCGCATAGCGATGAAGATTTTGTGATCGCTTTTGCGATCGCATTGCAATGTTCCCTATGGGGAAAAATCGCTTTGCGATGATTGTGGGGAAGCGATCATCGCACGCACCCCATTTTCGCACAGCTGATCGGCAGGGCTTCGGGATGATTGCGGGGAAGCGCTTCCCCCCCCCCCCGATCATCACGAAGCCCCGTCGATCAGCTGGGCAAAAATGCAGGCTTTGGGATGATGGGGGAAGCACTTCCCCCCATCATTCTGAAGCCCTGCTGATCAGCTGGGCGAAAATGTGGGCTTTGGGATGATGGGGGGGAAGCGCTTCCCCCCTGATCAACCCGAAGCCCCGCCAATCAGCTGGGCGAAAATGCGGGCTTCGAGATGATGGGGGGGAAGTGCTTTCCCCCGTCTTCCCGCGCCCCATTTTTGCCCAGCTGATCGGTGGGGCTTCGGGATGATGGGGGAAAGCGCTTCCCCCCGTCTTCCCAAAGCCCCGCCGATCTGCTGGGTGAAAACAGGGTGTAAGGCTGGAGTCAGCCTAACCTCCCTTGAGGGAGTTTCACAAACAAGGAAAGGCTACAGAAGAAGCTGGGGCTTGTCTGCTTACTGACTTGCCATCTTTTGGGTGGGAGGTTCAGAAGATTAAAGATTAGGAGTGAGCTATTTGTTGGGGGCCTTTTTGGACTCCAACTTCCAGAATTCTTCCAAGAATTCCCCAGAGACACTCGTATACAGGCACCTGTATTTTACTTGCCCAGAGCAGAGTCTATCCTGCAGGTGTCTGAGACTCAGATTTTCGGTTGTTAATGTACAAAAAAGGAAAGTCCCTGTGTTTCCTGTGAGACCTAGGCCTTTGTGGGACATGTAATGCTTTGGGACTATGCCTCTGTAGATCCTAATGGGCACCAATGCAACTCCCAGAATTCTGGGAGTTGGAGCCCTACCACACAGTCATGAAATGGCAAATCCCTATTGAAGATCTCAGATTCTATACAGGCTCATATGGGAGGAAGTGGTCTTTCAGATATTCTGTCATTAAGCTGTGTAGAGCTTTATACATTAGAAATCAGTTTGGAAATAAATAGGAAGCTATTACAGTTGGTTCAAGAGCACTAAGGTATGCAGGTCTCTATGGCAGACCTGGGCAAAATGCGGCCCTCCGGATGTTGCTGAACTGCAACTCCTAGCAATCTTCATTATTGGCTTTGTGGGCTAGGATTGCTGGGAGTTGCAGTTCAGCAACATCTGGAGGGCCACATTTCGCCCAGGTCTGCCTATTTGATTTCATTTGCAAAGTGATCACTTTATTTACTGAAGAACAGTTTGCCTCTCAAACTCAATTTCCATCACAGCCACCACTTCAAAAACCTAAAAGCCACACCCACAATTAGCAACATGACCACTGCCTATAGTTTCTGAAGCGCACGCCTAGCAACAATAGCATCTTCCAAAGGCGCTACTTATTTGTCAAAGAAGAAAGAGATGGATTATGATAATGTGTTTAAAATCCCTCTGTTATTTCCAGCTCTCGGTATTTTCATTGGAAATTAAACCTCTGTGTGATTTTGCTTGTCCTGGTGTTCATGGTGCCCTTTTATATCGGCTACTTTGTTGTGAGCAACATCCGATTGTGTAAGTATATGCAACGGCATAAATTTTTTTGGATTGCCAAATTAGATAACATTTGTCGCTTTATGTAACATATGAGTGTTATTAATGATCCTTCTTTATCTTTCTTTCTTGATTTTTTAACATTAATTTTGAGTACACAGACACAGACTGCTTTTTGCCTGTGTTGTCTGGTTAGTATTTATGTATTTCTTCTGGAAACTGGGAGATCCTTTTCCTATCCTCAGTCCAAAGCATGGTAAGTGTCATGCAGTATTTCAGTTTATTGTCTGATTTCCTAACTATCTGAAACAAACCACTGTGCATTGCATATTATTTATTTATTTGGATTACTATATTATTATTTATTTTTGATCTGTGGAAAAAGGGACTGTGAGCTTTATTCAAAATGTCAAAAATTAAGATTGATTTCTAGACACTTAATAAACTATGTATAATTATGTATAATAAGACTTGTACAGCACAATTCCGTTCATATTCGCTTAGATACAAATCCAAGTGTTCAATTGGGGTTGCTTCCAAAAAAGTGTTCATAGGATTGCAGTCTTAGGAAATTCAGTATTTAAATTATACTTTCCTATGCTTCTTGAATTTTGATTAAAGATCTAATAAAAGAAATGTGTAATTACATGGGCCCAATTCCTATTGATGTGGTATTTTTGCCCCTTCAGCATGATTCCCCCTTGCACATGACTAGTATCACAGTCAGTGGTTGCCCACTTGCATGATAGAGAGTCTGCCAGAGAACAGAAGACATTTCCGCAGTTTCCCTTCTAGGATTGCAGAAGGGAACGAAATTTGCAAGCAGATTGTTTATAAAGATGACAAGACATTGTACCTTAACTTCAGTATCTTCCTTATGTGGCAGTCTTGTATATAAGAAGTAATTGCAACTGCATTAGTAGTTGTCCTTGCCCATTGAAGAGTGCCAGGATGTGGAAATGGATGATATGGGGGAACTGGGGACCCCATGGAGCAGGGTCAGCAAGACATGTTGCAGTACCCAGAGCAGTTCCTAGCAAATATCCTATTCCAGCAGCAGCTGGAGCTGTACTCTTACACTGCTGGCTCAGGACTACTCTCTTCAGGCTCTCTTTCCTTTCCTTCCATGTAGGAAGTCTTTAAGGGATAGCTCCATGGCACATAGCAAGTCATTTTGTCACCTCTTCAGCCATGCAACTGGCGTCCATGTTGTGACAACCCCAGACCTACTGGGATATGCCACAGTTTAACTAAGCTGCCACCAACCATTCCCTGTAAGAAGTCCCACAGACCAGGGATGGATTTTTAACAAACAAAGGAATAAGGTTTATTTAACTAATACACAGGGAAAATAAAATGATCAAGTGAATAAGATACAGTAACGTGGCTTAGTCTCAATCATACATACACCAGTTTGGTTCACACAGAACACCTTTAAATAAAGCACAGACCCTGAACCTATCAGTTCTGGCTACCCATAAAGACACCTGAACCTATCAGGTAGGTACTGACTGACACACAGTAGTACCCTGTCTGACACACAGACTCCCACACCAGCTTCTTCTTCTCAGCTTCTTCTCTACAGCTTTTTTTTTCTTCTCTAGCTCTCCACACAAGCTCCACATATATATACAGTACAGCCCCTCCTCCTGATGTCCCGCCTTCCACTCCCCATAGGATGGAACTTTCCCTCCAACCCATGACAGACAGGTAACATCAGTGCTGTATGTAACACATGTATCTGCACCTGAGACCATGCAGCTCCTGGAAGTGGGTAGCTGGTCCCTTTGCTCTTATCAGGTCCTGGGGATGCCACATTTCTTGCAGGCCTGGAGACCCCTTGTTTGGTGTGTCAATTTGGGATGGCCCAGGTGGCCCAAGCCTGGCTTGGTCCAGGGTCTTCTCCACTGGCTGTTCAACTTATGAGTCTGTCCAGTCAGTGGTTGCATGCCTGGGACATGAGAAATGCCTGAATTTCTTTCCTATCTTGTTCAAAACAAAGTAATATCATGGTGAGTGATTGTTTGCTTTGTTTTATGTCAGTGAAAATAGTGGTGATGTTAAGATAATATTATTTTCCTTTCCCTCAGGAATTCTATCCATAGAGCAGCTCATCAGTCGGGTGGGTGTGATTGGGGTGACCCTCATGGCCCTGCTTTCTGGATTTGGTGCAGTCAATTGTCCATACACTTATATGTCTTATTTTCTAAGGTAAACAAAATTTCCTAGTTTGTTTATTTTTGTCTTCCTTTGGTTTTCTTTGACCTCTGTTCTATTGTTTCCTCTTGGTTTGCTCTGTCTTTGATTCTGAGTACAAACTTTCCAGAAATGAACTCTTGCCCATCTCCTCTGGCTCAGTAACAATGATACTAACTTGATATTGGCTATTATTTTGGCCCTGTTCAGCATCTGTATTTTTGTATCTTAATGTGCTCCAGTAGAAGTAGAGAAGTGGGTGTAAGAGATGCACAGACCTGGGGAGGGGCTGTGTTAACCTTTGCTATTCTAGAGGCGACAGGCGTATGAAAAGGTCCATATATATTTCTGTGTAGGAATGTGACTGATGCAGATATTCTTGCTTTGGAACGTCGGCTCCTCCAAACAATGGATATGATCATCAGCAAGAAGAAAAGGTAAGGCAAACACAGTAAAGAATCTTTTTTATTTTTTTATTTTTGAAGAATTTTCCATCCAAGCGGTGACTTTCCTGTGGACAAAATATTTGTCTTGGAGGAAATCAAATAGTCATTAAAATACCTTAAAACAGTTGATAACCGGATAGAATGATTTACGTTGTCGTGTGCGATAATGGTGTCAGTAAAGTTAGAGCTAGAGATGGGGCTATTTGTATTTGTATATGAATACCCTTGCACAGGTGGCAATAACGAGGGTCCGGCTCCCTGGGGCCAGACTGTCCACTCACAATTCAGCTGTTGCTGCCAGCTCTGTGATCCTTCTTATCACTCATGTTCGCGATCGGCAAGCCACTCTTCGACCTGGCAGGGAGGCTTGTCGTCCTGCCTCCTGCCAGGAGTGGCGAGTCAGTTGCGAGCTTCGGAGTGATAGGAAGGATCACAGAGCTGGCGGCAGCGGGGGAATTGTGAGTGGACAGTCTGGCCCCAGGGGGCCGGACCCTCGTTATTGCCACCTGTGCAAGGGTATTCATATACAAATACAAATAGCCCCATCTCTAGCTCTAACTTTACTGACACCATTATCGCACACGACAACGTAAATCATTCTATCCGGTTATCAACTGTTTTAAGGTATTTTAATGACTATGTTGGTTGTGACTAAATTTAAGTCCCAGACAGTGGTTATTTATGCATGCAACAATGTAGTTCAGTCCCCACCTTGGGCCTCCAGATGTTCTTGGACTTCAACTCCCAGAAATCCTGGCCAGCAGAGGTGGTGGTGAAGGCTTCTGGGAGTTGTAGTCCAAGAACATCTGGAAGCCCAAGGTTGGGGACCACTGATGTAGTTGATAGATAGCTATAGCTAAGTGCAGTTGATAGATAAGGTGCTGGGTGCAAGCAAGGTATGCAGTCAGCCATGTGAACCGGCACACAACCAACATAAAACTGGCATTTTGTGGCAATTTTTGTGATTCCTCTTGTGCATGCTTAAATATCCACTCTGTTTTTGGCCACTGATTTCATTGGGTCCTCTCTGAGTGTAATGAGCAGTAGATCCATTGTTCTGTGACCATGTGCTATGGTTATTTTGGTTCTAGTTTGTATCTCTTGTTTTTTAGCTCTTGACTTTTCCTCCCAATCAGGATAGCAATGGTTCACAGAAATATGTTCCAGAGAGGAGAAGTGCATAATAAGCCCACTGGTTTCTGGGGAATGATAAAAAGTGTTACGGCATCTTCACCAGGCAGTGAAAGTATCCTTTATTTTAAGCTTTGGCAAATAGAAACTGTGTATATGTGTGTGCGTGTTTTAGGTAGTGGAGAATTCTTGCTTGGGTTAAAACTGAAGGAAGTCATGAAGGGGATTTGTTAATGCATAGAGAAGAAGCTATAGAGAAACCTTGACCCTCAACTGTTAAGTTTTATACATTTAAAAGCACGATAGAAGCACAGTGCCTGTGAGTGCCAAGCACCACAACTTAATCCAGAGAGACACTTAGTCAGCTGTTTTCCTTTTATCAAGGAACAGTCCTCAGAAGTAACAGTGTGTAGATGGGAGACATGGAGTCGGGTATGGAATTAGCTAGGTAGTCCTGTGAAATCAGACACTTGCATTGTTATTTCCCCCTGTACTGAAGGTTAACAACAATGTTTGCTTACTTACTACAGTGGGATGTTGCCAGATACTGGCCAGAACATAAGGTCTGTGTAACTTGCCAAGGCTAATTACAGGTAATTGATAAAGTGTCAGAGTGCATTATAGTTAAGTGCCTGATTGCCCATTCAAGATGCACCCCAACACCTTTCCACTTCAACACAGTTAGAAAGACCCAGACATGAACACCAGTGGGCTTTGAAGTGCTGAATGACGTTTGATTGACAAACAAACTGCTGAACCTGCAGGTCATGCCCATTGCTAGTACAAACCCACTTTGCGTCATCCATTGAAATCCTGTAAGTGGGAATGGTATACAATTTCTAATTTGTAGTAAAGGAATAGAAATAAAGCTAGCCATTGGTCATGCTGGCCAATGAGTAAAACTAAAATCCATAATTTGACAATACGTTTATTAGGACTGGTAAAATGCCACAAAGGTCTGCAAGCTTTTCAATTCTTCAGAACTCTGAAGGATAGGTGGTGAAAAAAAAAGTTAAGAGGTGAAAGAAGGAGGAGGCAAGTCCTAAAATTAGGGCTTATGTTGTGACAATGAGACTTGCAGTTAAATTTTGCCCCATGATGATAATTGGCAGACTGTGGTATCACTCACACACAGATACCAAATTATACCTAGCAGCACATACTGGGGTAAAGACCCAGTGTCTGGTCTTTATTTCTAGATCGACAAAGGTAAGTTGCAATTCAGGCTTTTGGCTATTACCTTGCATGGGACACATAGGACTAAATTGATTTGTCAGTCCCCTCTAAAGGAACCCCACTAAGTCAATGAGACCTATGTCAGTGTTTACTCAACAAGTCCTCCTCCTTTAAGGGGTCCAATTGGGATTTAACAGGTGGATTTAACCATAATGTTCCTGGGACAGCAGTAATGTGTTACAGTTATTTTGCCATTGAGAGCCATTGCAAAGAAATGTGTTGTTTAGATTGCTGACTAGCATTGGTTATAGGGAGCATTTAACTCAGTGCAACAGCTTCACTGGCTGCCTGTCTGTTTCCAGGCCCAATTCAAAGTGTTGGTTATGTTCTATAAAGCCCTATGTGACTTGGGTCCAGGCTACCTGAAGGGTGGTAAACCTCATATGAGCCTCCTGGGCTTTTAAGATCTTCTGGGGAGACCCTTCTCTAGATTCCACCATCTTCCCAAGCTTGTTTGGCGAGGACATAAGAGAGGCCTTCTCAGTCATTGCTCCCAGGTTGCTCTGAGAAGCCAGTTTAGTTCCCTTTCTCTTGTCCTTCCATTGTCAGGCAAAGACTTTCATCTTTAGGCAGGCTTTTAAGCAGTAAGTGTCTCAAGAATGCTTGTTTATTATCTTACAGATGTTTGAAAATGGTTTTTAATCTTGGTTTTTAAGTTTAATATATATTTATTTGTTTTTAATGTGATATTTATATGCTGTTTTTAAAACCATTGCTTCTTTTGTAATTTTACATATTATGGGCTACCTTAAGTCCCTGGGGGGAGAAAGGTAGCAAATAAATAAATGAAGAGAGAGAGAGAAACAGCATGGCATTTTATATTATGTGCCTCAGTTCCTTATCCCTGAGATATTTTCATACGTTGTGCAAATGTTGTGGGCTAAAGGGTGAGTGGAAACTGGAGGTCTGTGTTGCATTTCAGATGATTTTATATGGGATTTTGTCCTTGACAACTTTGGTTTGCCAGATCTGGCAGTTATCCAGCAGGAAATAGATGCCTTGGAGGAGCTGAGTCGGCAGCTTTTCTTGGAAACAGCTGACCTCCATGCTACCAAGGTGCAGGCTAAGGGGAGTGTTCTTGTGCCTGATGGGTGGGTAATAAACTCCAGGGTAGGAGCAAAACTTAGTCCAAACTTAGGTATCATCCAAAGACTGGTGCAGTATGGGAGCTGTCCCTTTATAATATCCCATCCTGTCTTTTTTCTTAAAATTCAGAAAGGAGATGATTAAACTATCTTCACCCAGTTCAAACCTTCTATGAGATAATGTATTCTAGTACAAACCAGACATCTTTGCCATGTTGGGAGAACTTTGTACATTTGTTGTCCATTTATTACAGTGAGATCATGTTTGGCTGTCCAGATGTTATGGACTACTACTTGTTTTCCATTGGCTATCCTGACTGGGGCATCTGGGAGGAAGTTGAAACATCTGGAGGCCAAAGTTTCCCTAGCCATAGTTTATAGACAGGCTTTGTTGAGCAAGGAATGCCTGTGTCTTGTAAAAGTTAATATTTTCATAGACAAATATGTTAATAGAAATACGTACAGAGCATGCTTTGTGACTTGAAGGTACTCCTAGAAGTCTAGGTTATTTCCCTCTTACGTAACTTGAAGTTATGTACCCTTTGCAAAAGTTGATCCGGCAGCTGTAAATGGGCCAGTGTGCATTATTCATGAACGTAATCTGTATGAGATGTTAATTGTTTTATTGATGGGAAACCCATCAATACCCATGTTGGTTACCATGAATGTCTCATGAACCTGAAAAAATACATGTTTCTTTGCAGGAAAGAATAGAATATTCTAAAACATTCCAAGGAAAATATTTCAACTTTCTGGGCTATTTTTTCTCCATCTACTGTGTCTGGAAAATTTTTATGGTACGTAAATTACAATTGTGATGACAATTTATATTTTGTAGTCTGGCGGAAGTTGTGCTTAGTAGAAAGAGAGTTTTCCTCACTTTATTGCATTTTCAGTCATAATACAGTCTGAGTCAGTTGTTTAGGGATCAAATCAGTTTCGGGCAAGACATGTATGCCTTTTGATGTATAAAAGTGCTGTCCTAACCAGCCAGGATGGTCTCGTGCCATCAGACCCAACATTAGGCCAACTGAAGCAGTTCAGGATGCAACCCTCTTCTGACCCAGGGATGTTGGAAATTACTTAGGACTATTCTTGCCTTGATCTGAATTTGCAATAGCATTGTGGCTCTTTTTTCAGGTTTTGCAGAACCCTGGGTCTCGCTGTGCATTCTCAAATCATTTGCCAGCAGATCATAATCAGGAGAGCAGTTCTGCTGGCAGATTATTTTGTAGATTACCTAGATTCCTGAAATCAACCAGGAGGAGGAGATTATTGCCAGCAGAGGAGGCTTGCCCCAACTCCAACACCTACTCCCAGAATGTATTTGAGTTAGGATTGCACACTTAAGTGTGTAAGATCACTGGTCAGTTTTGTGTGGGTGGTTTCCATACTATAGAAGAGTAGCTTTGTGTGTCACTCTCTTTCTTTTCCTTCCTTTAGGCTACAATCAATATTGTATTTGACCGAGTTGGGAAAACAGATCCAGTTACAAGGGGAATTGAAATCACTGTGAATTATTTGGGGATCCAGTTTGATGTGAGTACTTCTAATAAATACCACATTCTTTTGCAGTGTTCCATTGCATTCTGATTACCTTCAACTCTATTTAGAGCTTGATGTTTTAGTTAACTTCCTGGTGGGATGTACAACCTTTTGAAATTCATTGGAAGATGTTACACTTATGACCATTCACATTTTTAAATCCCAAAGTAGTGCATGAGCCCAAAACACTATTTCAGTTATGTTAATTTTAGGAAGACATTAATTGGAAATTCTACTTGGAACCTGCAGTAATTCTCAAGCTCTTCAAGACTGCCTCGCTGCTTAATTTTTTTAAGTAGTGTTGTTTTTCAGTTATATATTATACAATATGTGTCAGTCTGACTTTAAGTTACATCCATATTGATGCATAGATAGTTCTTTATTTTCAGCCCATTTATTTATTTATTTTTATTTATTTTATTTACAATATTTTTTAGCCGCACCATTGCCAGTGGCTTCTGGGCGGCGGCAGTGAAGTTTGTGAAGATTCTCAGTCATCCAGGTGAAGTTGTCTGGAAGTTGATTCATGGCAACTGGACTTCTTTCTTGTCAGGTTGAAACATTTTGCTACTCAAGTCCAGTTGTCATGACTCAACTTGCAGAGCCCATTTATAAGGTATCAAAATGGCATAGGTTTACCATGTACGTACTTTTGCAGCCTTTTGTGGTTACTAATCATGGCAGGCTCTGCAGATCAGATCCAAGGAGTTGGGGGCTTCATTTCTGACCACTTTGTGATAACAGCATGAAGGTATCATGTCTCTCTCTTGCACATGGGCACACAAAGCATATCTGTATGTGGAGGAGACAGAAATCCTTTTCGGTGTGTACAATCCCTTAGGTTCATCTAAAGTAGCTCTTTAGATCTAAAATCACATAATCTGCTAGTACATATGTGTTCCATAGAAATAAATTACTTCAGTACTGAACAGAAATTCAAGCTGAGGCTTAGTAGCAAAAGAGAAAATACATGAAAGCCTTTGGAGAAGTGACTTAAGAAAATTGTCTTTGTCTGCTTTCCATTTGTTTTACTACTAGAAGCAACTTTTAAAAAAAGAGATAAAATGCCATACTTGGATGTGAGAGACTCCCCTTTCCTTGTATAGGTTAGTGGGCTCAAAATAATCCATAATGTGGAATATAAAAGCCAGGATAAATAGTAGCTGGAAGAGGGTGTGGGGTAAGGGAGTCTAAGAGGCCTCACAATGTTTAAAGCATAGAAACGTATTGTGCCTTTATTATCCATATAGCCTCCATAATATGTCTGGAAATGTTGGTTAGCCAGAATTTTATGCTGCACTTTGCAGGTCAGATAGTATATATCATTTTAGATGCCTTACATTGAATGCACTAACTGTTTGACAGTTTTAACATACGAATGTGGTGAGATGTTATGTGGTTCTCTTGTAGTATTGTCTTACCACATAAGAATGTTACAACTGCCAATTAATGCCATTCATTGTGACTGCCAGATTAAAACGTTTTGCCCAACCTGACAGGTATAATGAATAGATTATTTTCAAAACTCTGTATGTATAAATCTGTTTTATAAACCTGTGGCGATCCTGATGCTTGGTGTTGTCTGGCATAATGTTACAGAGAGTTTTAAAAAGCTTTCTGTATACACACATCTTGTTTTGTATATCAGCCATATTTTTCAAGACTTCACATTTTGTGATAATTCACGATTTTGATATTTAGTCTCTGTATTAATAGAAGGCGTTCTAAAACTGTAGAATATCAACATTTAACATTGGTTATTGAGTACCCTGTTTCCCCAAAAATAAAACCTAACATGAAAATAAGCCCTAGTATGATTTTTCAGGATGCTCGTAATATAAACCCTACTCCAAAAATAAGCCCCAGTTAAGTGAAACCCCATCCTCCACTATTGTGCAGCAACCAGAAGAAGATGACATGACTGTATTTGAATAGATGTAGATTGTTGTACATGAAAAAAAAAAACCCCTGAAAATAAGCCCTAATGCTTTTTTGGAGCAAAAATTAATATAAGGACCTGTCTTATTTTCAGGGAAATACGGTAGGATGTCATCTGCTTGAAAGTTAGGTTTTGCTCTGTTGCTTGCCCAGAAGATGGCAGCAGCTACCATCTTCATGAAAAGAGGATTCATATACCTTCATCTGTGTTTTGTGCCATCAAGTCAGATTTGATGTATGGTGACCCTAGCAGGATTTACGAAGTATGGCAGATATTTAAGAGGTGAGCAGGAATTTGAACCCAGAGCTCTTGAATCCTAGTCTGAGAGTCTGTCCACTACACCACGATGGATATCATATTACACCTCCAGCCACCTCAAGGTTTCACTCTAGATGCAGACAGGCAGTGAATACAATGTTGGCAAGAGCTGTAGATTTGCAACGAAAGTGTCTTGTGTGCAAGTATTCTTGTGAACACTGAAGACACTATACATACATATGAAATATCTAGAGCAGTGGTGGACTGGGCCCATTGCCTTTGGGAATGGGGAAGGCAAAGAGCAAATAGTAGGCAGAGCCAGATAGGTGAATTTCCCCCCTCATCCTTCCCGTCTTGCCTTGGAAAGAATCACTTCCCTTGCAAAGCACACTTAAGATGTATCTTGATTGTTATGTGCTGTCAAGTCACTTCTGAATTATGGTTACTTCTGATGAAAGTGAAAGAAGAAAGTGCAAATGTAGGACTGCAGTTGGACATTAATAAAACAAATATCATGACATGATGAACTGAGATTTTTATACTTTGACTGCATCTTGAGAAGGCAAGACATGCCAGATAATATTGCTAGGGAAAGTTTAAGGTAGCAGGCAAAGAGGAAGACCCTATATGAGATGGACTAACTCCATAAAGGAATCCACAACATTGATTTTATAAGAGCTGAGCTCAGGACATTTTGAAGGTCACTCCTTCATTCAGTGGTACATATTAGAGGTCACTCTTTCATGGGGTCACCATAAGTCAGAGGCAAACTGACAGCCCATAACAAGAATTAATGACCTCCAAAAAGTCCTGTTGTTAGCAACATTGTTCAGGTTTCATAAATTAAAGGTTATTGCTTCCTTTAATGAATCAGTCCATCTCATGTTAGATTTTCCTCTTTTCTTTCTGCCTTCCACTTTTTCTAGTGTTATTGTCTTGCCCAATGAGTCTTGTCTTGTCAAACTGTACATCACAATAACTTGCTGCCATGTTCAACTGAACTGAAGAATAATGTCTTGTCTTGGTTCAGAAAAGTTGTACGTTGCCATGACTGTGTACTGGGAGAACTGTCTTTCAGTGAGGTGTCTTTCTTCAGAGAGTTTAGTTCCAGATTTTCCAGAAAGGACCAGTCATCTTTGAAAGAAGTCGCTCAGCGGTGCTCAGCTCTATCACAGTGGGGAAAGCAGCTTTCAGGCTGAGTTTTTACCTGTCTGGGGAAGCGACTCAGCATAACTCCTGTGTGCATAGAATTGCAGCCTTTGTTAGTCTAGCTTTTTGCATCCCACAGTATTGCTAAACTGCCAGGGTTAGAGGCAGTGGAAAAAAGAGACAGGCCTCCTCCCACTATAAACATACCTCATATCCAGTCATCTTTTCTGGGAATAAGTAGCAGTACTGACCTTTCTTTTCATCAGGTTCCTTTGCCTTTAACAATCATAGGGGCTGCAAGTAAGGAATAAATACAGATCTTCCAGGAATGGGGATTCTGGTTTTTTGCTTGAGGAAATAAAATCAGCATTTGCTAAGTATGAGGGTCAGACAACAGAATTATGAATACCCATTTCAGAGCCAGGGAGATTCTCTGACTTAGTATAACGAGTGTCAGGAATAGGCAGTGTGTAAGCAGATCAGCCCAGAAAAAGTTGCAAAGGTATTTTGGATTAGGTAGAGCAAAGTAATGCTGACCTGACTTGGGGTAAGGATTAGTTGCTGTAAGGATTAGTGAGCTGATGTGGGGAAAGGGTTTTGCATGCTTCAGAACCCTACACTTTATTATTAGTAAGGCATATACTCTGTAGTAAATCAATAACAAGATTAAGTGAAATTCCACATCACTTTTCTTGTGAGAATTGGATGAGTAGGAAAGAGATTCAAAATATACCACTGGACAAATGGCACATTTCTGAACATGTGCAGAAGGCATCCCACAAACTTCTTTTATTTTGAAAAGTCAGTAGTGCAGTTGTATACATATCTATTCAGAAATAAGAGCTGTTGAATTTGTGGGACTTGGTTCTTAGGAAGTGAATGCGGGATCAGCCTGAAAGTGACTGTAAAAATGACCTCCCCTCCTCACATAGACCTTAACCTTTGTCTCACCTGTCTTAAACTTTTTACCACTCAGTTTTACCTATATCAGGAGCATTTGACAATTTCCTTTTTCAGAAATTGTGTTTCCTACTTTAGGAAGACAAAGGTAGGCCTAGGGTCCAGGGGTCTGTTTGTCCCTTTACTGTTCAACCACTGCTTCAGCTTCATTCACAGATGGGTTTTGAAGTTGTTTCCTTTCAAACAATACCAAGCCTGTTGGTTGTAGATAGTGCTCAATTCTGGGTCCCGCATAACTGCAACTGACCCTGCTATGACAATTGCTCAGAGATTCTGAGGGACATTCGTCATGGCTGCCCCTCTCAAATACAGAGGAGACATACTGCTGAGCTGCTGAAAAATAATGCTCAGAGGTTCTGAGGGTCATTCGTCACGGCTGCCCCTCTCAAATACAGAGAAGGGAGACATACTGCTGAGCTGCTGAAAAATACCAAGCATGGTAGCCCTGATATCAATGCTGTTTGACAGCAAAGGAAGAGGAGAAGAAGAAAAATATGAAGGTGGGAACACAGCATTGTGTTCTGGATGTAAGTTGGGGTTGTCAGGGAAGGGGGAGGCTTTTAAGGAGTGGGAAGCACCTGGAGGGCTGGTGTCCTCTTTACCCAAAGTCTAGAGTTGCTACTGAGTTGAAATTAACATTGGCCAGCCTAGAAGATTAATAGTTGACTCATCTAGCTAGGATTCTGTCTGGGGATTTAACCATTTTCATTCTGTATCACTGCAGGTAAAATTCTGGTCCCAGCATATTTCTTTTATTCTTGTTGGAATAATTATTGTCACCTCTATCAGGGGTTTGCTGATCACTCTAACAAAGGTAAGCCTGGACACAGTCCTGTTATATGACAGGTTGGACAAAGGGGAGAGTGACTGGTCAGAATGATGTTAAGACAGAACTGTACATTAAAGGAACAGGGGAGCTGTATGTTGCATTCCATCTCCCCCTTCATTTCTAGCTATATCTTATGTCTTGGTCATTATACTGAGTATACAGAGTTACTGCTGCTTGTGAAAAACTGAGACTGCTTCTCATGAGAGTTGAATTGTATGGATCACTATAATACAGTTAGAACACCATGGGATTATGCAGTGGAATATCAGTTTCTACTATCTTTGAGATTAATTAGAGCATTGGAGTCTAGCACCTTCAACTCTCAATAGTATAGACAACTCTGCTTTAAAAGTCCTTTTGAGACATAAATATTACTTTGCATACTGGTACAGTTGGCAAAAGGGACGTGGTGATGCTGCGGGCTAAATCGCAGAAGCCTCTGTGCTGCAGGGTCAGAAGACGAGCAGTCGTAAGATTGAATCCATGTGACAGAGTGAGCTCGCGTCGCTTTGTCCCAGCTCCTTGCCAACCTAGCAGTTCGAAAGCATGTAAATGCGAGTAGATAAATAGGTACCATCTCGGTAGGAAGGTAAAACGGCATTCCCTAGTCACGCTGGCCACGTGACAGCGGAAACTTGTCTTCGGACAAGCACTGGCTCTACGGCTTGAAAAGCGGGATGAGCACTGCCCCCTAGAGTCAGACACGACTGGACTAAAAATGTCAAGGGGAACCCTTACCTTTACCTTTACAGTTGGCAAATGCACCGTCTCTGGAATGCTGCTGTCCCTTGTGCTCAAATGAAGACTCTCAGAGTGATTGTTTTTGACAAGGCAGAAAACACCTTTTCACTGCTCATGTAATGGCTATTGATAACTGGGTCACAAGGTGGGATGATCTTTATAGGAATAGATACAGTTAGGTCTGCTTTTGATGTTTATCTTGGCACTGGGAAAATCAGGCATTTTTTCTTTTGCAAGCCATTGCAGTTCCTTGAATTGTTTGCAACTGTATCAGATTTTTTTCCTTTTTTATAAGTGCTCATAGACAATTGGAGCTGCTTGTATATAGAGGATAGTATCTTACGTATGGATTTGCAAAAGAATACATACCTCCTTATCTCTAGCAAATACAAGGGCAAATACAGAGTGCATTGTGGGATATTATCAGAAGGCAGAACAGAGTTCCAACACAAATAACTTTAATGTTACAACTAGAGATCTTCTCTCTGATTTTGGTGTCTCTAGGTGCCGGGGGGGGGGACTTTGTGGGTGTATAACTGGACATCTGAAACCCAGTCTTCACCAAACTTGGAGGAATTGTAGAAGAGTGTCAGAGGAAGTTTCCCTGCAATTTTGGTGTCTCCAGGTGCCTGGGTGGGTGGGGGCATTATATAGCCAAACGAATTAAAAATCAGTAAACATTCATTGGGGGCACTGATTAGTATTACTATGAACTGACAAATTAGTGATTTTTTGAATGAATTTGGTGATTCAATTTTTAATTTGTGCCCATCTCTAGTTACAACTAAGTTAGCCAATTAGAAAAGGAAGTTGTTCTGAATAAGATGTTGTTATAATAAGAACAGTTATCTTGTTAATCATTTTATATATGAGGAATTTGCCCTGTATGATGAACATTCAAAGCATTTTCCAATTCAGCCCTAGACACATTATTAAATATACATTTGGTGCCATGTGGTTGTCTCCTCTCAAGAAAGTGATTTGTGTAAACCCATGTACTTATTTTCTCTATTTTTCTTCCTCTACAGTTTTTCTATGCTATCTCAAGCAGCAAGTCTTCTAATGTTATTGTTTTGTTATTGGCACAGATTATGGTGAGTATTTTAGCCAGTGTTGTGAACAGTTATTTGTCCTCTTTCAGCTATGGAAGCAGGAGGGAAAATGGGATATCTGATGTTTCTTTTATCTTCTCTGCAGGGAATGTATTTTGTATCTTCAGTGCTTCTGATTCGAATGAGCATGCCACTAGAGTATCGCACAATCATTACCGAAGTTCTAGGAGAATTACAATTTAACTTCTACCACCGCTGGTTTGATGTTATATTTCTCGTCAGTGCTCTTTCCAGTATTCTCTTCCTCTACCTGGCACATAAGCAGGCACCTGAAAAACATATGACACCCTAAGTCCATCTTTGTTGAAATGATCCAGCTGGAATATCATCATCTTAAAGTGGCTCTTTCTGCAGTGGACAGTCTGCTCAGATCAAATGTTTCATTGGTGGCAGAGGAAGGCAAGAGATAGCCCCAAGGTACAAGATGCAGCCCTTGGGACATAAATGTGCCCACGCTGGAGAAGAATTATAAAAGAAGGTGGGAGGCAAGCTCTCAGAAAGCAGAAGAGAGAGGAACTGTTCTATAGTGTTCAGTAAATATGATGGGGAAGATGTCTACTTGTTTTAATCTGGAAAACAGTGATTCTGGAACTGAGATTCTAAATGGTTAAATAAATCAGATTTTGTAATAATTCACAGTATTTATGGCAGTCTTAATATGTGTCAATAAGTTACTGCATAGAAGTTGGGATAAGGAATGCTGAATCACCAGGGTCTCAATTTTTAAGAAGCTGTTCTGGGAGGCTTCTTACCAATAAAACTGAACCCCCAGCTGTCGACCGGGCTGTGCTTCTGAGCTGGTACTGCAAAAAACTCTGCTGTGTAGCTCTGTTAAGAAGGTGACTCTTGGCCCTTGTATTGTATGGATTCTCATTATATTTACTTGTAGTGTGGTCATCTAACTCCATTCCTCATCTATAGTTCCCACAGGTTGCAAAGTGAAACAGAGACCTTACAGAAATCTGTTGGCAAACACATCTCTGTTATATACTAATATTTGTTTCCCTCTTTATGGAAACGACAGATTAACTTGAAGTTACTGATGGAAACTCATTCTGGCCTCTGGCATCATTTAAACAAACCACAACATGGTTATATAGCTCAAATGACAAACAAGAACATGTAAAGGTTTCACCTCTCCCCAACTTCATAATTTATCTGTTGTATGTGTGCCTGGGTGGGGCATTTGTGAGGCGGTAATGACTTAGTAATGATTGTTTTTACTAATTGCCAGAGAGCGCAGAGCATCCCTCCCCCAAAGTGACTGGGATTTCTGCAGCAAATGACAGAAAGACTAATGGGGAGTGTGGGCTCAGCAGAGAAAGTGGGAAGCTCACCTGATCCTAGTAGATGGATAAACCATGGGGAGTGAGAAGAGGTGACTGTACGGAATGTACTGTGCAGTGGAGAATGAAGGTGGATAGCATTAAGTATAGAGGGGGTACTGTAAACAAAAAAGGACCGTGATCTTGACAAATGTATTACATAATCCAGTTAAGGTTAGTTTGGTTTGGGTAGCAGCGTTATTCAGTGGACAGAGGGTAGGACTAGGACTCAGGAGATCTGGATTCAAATTTGGCCATAGAAATACATGTGGGAGTGCCAATGTTTGGCAACAATGAACCACTTTCTGAACATCCTACATACTGTGAGAATCCTGTTTTACAGGATCACTGTAAATATGACTGCACATAACAACAGGGGGTATTGGTAGGTCTTTGGGTCTGAATCTTTGGTACCAAGTCCCAAATCCCTATTAAAAATTTTTCCCCCAGAAAAAAGGGAGGTGGGGGTGGGTTCCAAATCCCTATTAAAAGTTTTCCCCCCAGAAAAAAGGGAGGTGGGGGTGGGTTCTGAGCTTCGAGTTAAGTTTGTCATTGGAAAAACAACAACACCTGAGTTGATTCCAAATTGAATCACTGGTGCAAATTAGTCCTACTTGCTAGCAAGTCCCCTGACTTGAGTCCCCATTCCTGCATAACATATGCATGAACTTAGTTGGTCTTTCAGTTAATATTATTGTCCTTATTCTTCTAGAAGAGCTCAAAGCAGCGAGAGCCCTGCAGCCAATTGTTATGACTGAAATGCTTCAGACACAAATGAGATTAGAGTGAACCTTTTTTATTTTAAAGTTTATAATAAAATTGAGATATTGAACAGAATTAGTATGGAGAAAACAAATCCATGTTCGTATGCCAGCATGTAGCTGATTTCTTGCGTTTTTTTTTCAAAGTATTGAAATGTTGGGCAACAAATTCTAAAATTATTTCATTCTAAAATGAGTACACGGTTTGCTAGAGGATAACAATTAATAAAATACAAACCAATAACTCTGAATAAAAACAAATGCTGGATTAGCTGGTAGGTAATCACTGTGTGTATGTAAGGTGGATGTTATTTTCCCTGTCTCCATTAGGAAGTCTTTGTAGTTAACATGGTGGTAAACATGTGCATACAGTCTGGATTATCCTCAGTGTGAACAGTGGCTTAACAAAAAGGATTTCTTCATTTAATAGAATCATCTGCTGTTCTGATGCTATTAAAACAATGTTTAAATACCATTCCAATCATATGCATGTTTGTTTTGGATGTTATACTGGTTTCTACATTGTGCAGTAGGATGAGGTTTCAAGAAAGCATATGTAGGATTGCAGACAACCTTTCCTAAGCAGTAATATTAGTAACTCTGTGCTTCAGAGTAGGAGTCATACGGCACTGTATTTCAAGTATAAACACTGGAAGATATTTTGATCGCTAGTATCACAATCTGGTGTCTTCATCTTCTGAAGCAACTGAGTGTGAAGAAGAGGATGAGCTTGCCTAGAGAAGAAAAACAACAATGGTAGATCAGATCAGTAGTCTACTAAGTGATTCCCAACCTTGGGTAACTCAGGTGTTCTTTGACTGCAACTCCAGAAATCCTATCCAGTACAACTGGTGGTGAAGGCTTCTGAGAACTGCAGTCCAAGAACACCTGGGTTACCCAAGGTTGGGAACCACTGCTTTACTGTATTGTCTGACAGACCTCTCATGTTTCAGAATAATGGAGTACAGTGGTGCCTCGCTTTACAATTGCCCCACATTATGACGAATCTGCTTTACGATGATCTTTTTGCGATTGCAAAACGATGGTCTCAATGGGGGAATTTTGGTTTGTGATGATTGGTTCCCTGCTTCGGGAACCAATTCTTCGCAAAATGATGTTTCTTAAACAGCTGATCGGCGGTTTCAAAATGGCCGCTGGGTAAATAAAATGGCTCCCCGCTGTGTTTAGGGACGGATTCCTTGCTATACAGGCAGCGAAAATGGCGGCAATATGGAAGATCTTCGCTGGATGGTGAGTTTTAAGCCCATTGGGAGGTTTTCCATGCGTTTCAATGGGCTTTTTATTTTCGCTTTACGATGTTTTCGCTTAATGGTGATTTTCCTGGAACGGATTATCGCCGCTAAGCGAGGCACCACTGTATTGGGAATTGAGAGATTTAATAATTTTGTAACAGACGTTTGAACATAGGCACAGTCTAAAGTTCTTAGCTGCTTGTTCAGTTGTCTTCTGAAAGAACAAAAAGGGAAGAGTAAGACAATACCAGGAGAAAAACTGTGATCTTTAAGAGCCCCTGTGCCCAGTAGAATTTGCAAATGTGCTTTTTAAAAAATCTAATTTTTTTCAGGTGTTAAGTAGCTGGTGTCAATTACTTCTGAAGGGTATTTAAGTTTGCTATGCAGTATTCTGTATGCATATATATGATGATCTGGATCTACATTTTAATATGCATCAATGTTTTATCAATAGTGTGTGCTTATATGGTCCTATCCTTATTGATCCTTTATAAATATGATAATGATCATTTCTAGATTGCCCCAATAAAGGATTTCCCCCCAGAAAACATGCTGGGCGCTTCTTACAAATATAGGGTCCCTGTGATTACAAGTTACTCACTTGCAAATTATTTTGGCAAGTGAATGCCATTGATCTTGATAGAATGCTTGTCTCAACAAATATGTTTAAGAGTCCGTCCTCAGTCATGCAGTGTTTCTCAAACTTTATGTCTAAATTAACTCACTCGTTCTCGTGGTTCAGGCTGCAAAGTTTGTATCTCTGTGTAGGCAGGAGGGTCGCCGTTGCCATCATTTAGTGGGTCTGCCATTGATGCAGTAACAGGCATATTCTGAGACTTAAAGTACTGGTAAGCTTCCTCTCCGCAGACTAGTAGTGTCACCCTGTTGCCACTGTTCTGGATTCTTGCGACTACATCATCATAGCTTTCATTCTCCACATTGACACCATTTACTTCTATCAAGATATCATCAGCTTGCACCCCTGCTTTGTCTGCTGGCCCATCCTTCTGTACCTGCAATTATATTGTGTTAGAAGCAAAATTTTCCCTGATTGAGAGTAGATGGCAGGATAAGGTGGTAGTTTAGATACAAAACTGATGGGTCCTTGCTTACAGTAGGAAGCTTGTATACATGGGATTTGCAAACAATAATATCCAGTAGTTTAAACATACCATATTCCTTTTCATTTATCAACATCCTCAGCAAAGAAAGAAGGCAAAATGGTTAATATTGTCATAAAAGTACTTACATTTTCTTATTGAGCTAGAATTACTAGGTTGGCATAGTGGGGACTTTAGTTCTATGAAAACAATATTTTCAAATTGGTTTCAGTGCAATCCTCTTCGCTATGTTCCATTTTCAAACTGCTTTACTCTTTTCATACAGCTATAAAATAGCCTAAATTTAAAATGCAGAGAGGAAGGTGAATGTCTACTAGAATGCACATTTGCCCTAGGAGAAACACCTTCCAAAAACTAAGGACACTTACACTCGTCTGATCAGAATTCTCAGTGAATTAAACGGGCTTACAGTGGTGCCCTGCTTAACGATTACCCCGCTCCACGACAAAATCACTTAACAATGAGGTTTTTGCAATAGCGATTGCAAAATGATGTTTAAATAGGGAAAATCTGCTTGACGATGATCGGTTCCCTGCTTCGGGAACCGATTTTTCGCTTTACGACGATCAAACAGCTGATGATGGGGGTTTCAAAATGGCCGCCCGCTGTTCAAAATGGCTCCCTGCTGTGTTTAGGGTGGATTTTTCGCTTTACAGGCACCAGAAAATGGCCACCCTATGGAGGATCTTCGCTGGACGCTGAGGTATTTTGCCCATTGGAATGCATTGAGCGGTTTTCAATGCATTTCAATGGGCTTTTTACTTTCGCCTGATGATTATTTCATTCTACAGCAATTTTGCTGGAACAGATTATCGTCGTCAAGCAAGGCACCACTGTATTCTGCACCTGGATTCAGCTGGAGGTTGTGTGTGTACTTATGTCCTCCAGTATTTAGTCCTTTATTTTCATCAATCTATACCAAGGGTTACTGAAGCCAACCAGGTAGTTACTGGAACATTGTGCAGCAACTTCAGCTATATAAACTACTCTGCATGTTATTTCATTGGGTACCCCCACAAGAAGGGAATGGTAACCCACTTCAGAGCATTCTCTACCTAGAAAACCCTGGAAGGGGTCACCATTGACTTGATGTCACACTATGATTATTATAACACCTTGCTGCATATATAATTTTTATGACAGTATAAACACTATTCTGTACAGAGCATGTATGCTTGGTTTGCTGTAATGTGAGGGATGTACAAAATCATTGAAGGATTTCATTTGTTTTTCTTTTGGTCTTAGAGAACAGAATCAGTAGTATACTAATCAATTTGTATGTGGGCTAGCATTTATCTCTATTTTTTAAAAAATAATTCTGAACTAAGTACAGTAGCAGTAGTTCTCTCGTAATTTTTTCCACATACATTTGCTGCTTAGAAAATGTCTTTAAAATACACAAGCAATTAGAGGAAGACAAACATTCTCTTTTTAAAAACGCTGTTGCTAACATGATGTTATTAAATGGAAATGGACAAGGTGTGAGGATAACATAAGTATACTGGGTATGCTATGATGAAAAGCAGTAAGAATGCCTCTGAAATGAACATGTCTTAAGCCGGGGGCAGTAATGCAGGTTTGGTAAGTCCTTTTTTATTTTAGAATACTATTCTATGAAAACAGCAAATTGCAAGTCATATTCTTAGCAACCTTTGCTAAGTAACAGATCTCTGAGTTAAGACTCACTGTGACCTTTTGTTATGCATTATACTGGGTACCTGAATGCTGTTTATATTCATTGTGCCACAAGAACAGAAGGTCTGGATACTTATTATTCATTTTCATCATTAGCATCATGTTTCTTTCATCAGAATATGGATTCTAGATTAATACCTCTTTGATGAACTGGCCAGGCAAATCCTGGATTGCATTCAACCGGAAGCCAAATCCACTGGGACCTTTTACCAGCCTGCATAGCCTAGGCTTATGATTCACTTCTTCGGTATATGTTGGTACTTCTGCCTTATGTAGAGATGGCACCAGTGTTTTATGATAGTACAGACATGGAGATATTTTAGCCTAAAGAAGCCAAAAGCAAAGAAGTGTTCATTGCAAAATAAGAAATTGCGTCAAACAATGATCAGGTTGCTCACATCTTGTAGGGCAGGGATGGGGAACCTCCAGCCCCACCACTCACCTGTATAGCAGCAGGAAGAGAGTTACAAATCCTTCCCAACAAACCCCACTCCATTCCCCAGTTGGTGGAAGCAACTGGGCAGCACAGGAAAAGAAAGCTTTTCTCCAGTTGCTCAGTTGATTTGTGGCAAGTAACTAAAGAGTGGGATGGAAAATATTCTTGTCTTCTATGCGAAAATGAATTGTATATGCATAGATGGATAGATGTGTATTGGGGAGTGGTGTATATATGAAGGAAAGGGAAATAGAGGAAGGTATGCATTCCAGTTTGTTACTGCAGCCCAGCTGTACTTGTTACCATTTTGAACATGATGTCTGTCTCTTCATCCACCACCAGCAGTGTAGTTTTTTCACCAGACTGCCTGATTCTCTCCACCACAGTGTTATGGTCCAGAGTTTCAGTCGTCTCTCCATTTACAGCCACCAAAAAGTCATTGTCCTTAAGGCCTGCCATAGCTGCAGGGCTGCCAGAGTCAATGTCCTTAATAAAATGACCTGTCGTCAAAAATAAGGAAAGCCTGATATTTAATAAAGCACCATCTGGCCACAGTCTGGTTTTGAGACCACAGTAATGATTCAGGTTTATATCTAGTTGAACTGACTTGCACAATTTATCCACTTGCTCAAAGAATGTGGAATATAAGATGCCAAATGTGAAGCTAAAGTATTTTCCAGGGGAAGGGAGAAAGACATGAACCGAAATTTAATTTGCCACAGACTTGTGTGGAGTCATGTGTATATAATTTTTTCTGTAAACATACAGGGAGATCCAGCCTTGTCCGGACCAAAGATTCAGTTAATCTACTGTTTTGTTTGCAGCAAGACTCTGTAAGATGCATCTTTCTCTCCCTGATAAGCTTTCCTAGCAGCTGGAATTCAGAGGTATATTGTCTTGGAACAGAAAGGTCTAATTCAGCTACACTAACTAATAGCCATTGGCAGATACACAAACAACCTCAGCTCAGCTGAGTATGAGAGCAGTAAGAATCTATCTCACAGGAATACAGTCGTGCCCTGCTTAACGATTATCCTGCATTACGACAAATATGCTTAATGACAATGTTTTTGTGATCGCAATTGCGATCGCAAAATGATGTTTTAAATGGGTTTTTTTCGCTTTGCGAAGATCGGTTCCCTGCTTCGGGAACCAATTCTTCGTATTACGACGATCAAAACAGCTGATCATCGGGTTTTCAAAATGGCCACCGGGTGCTCAAAATGGCTCCCCGCTGTGCTTAGGGATGGATTCCTTGCTATACAGGCACCGAAAATGGCTGCCGTATGGAAGATCTTCACTGGACGGTGAGTTTTTAGCCCATTAGAATGCATTAACCGGGTTTTAATCCGTTTCAATGTTTTTTTTTTTTATTTTCGCTTTACAATGTTTTCGCTCTACAGTGATTTTGCTGGAATGAATTAATGTTGTTAAGCGAGGCACCACTGTATTACAGGAGCTGCCACATTCTGGCCCATGTTTCTGATGGCAGGTGAACAATAGGTTGCTCCTTGAGCAGAGCTGCTGAGTTGTTTGGGATGAAGCAAGCAGCCAACTGGCTCTGGAACTAGCTTTCCAATCCCAGGGAGTTTATGATCCAAACAGGAGTAGCAAAAGGAAGTTTTATGTGGCAGTTTGAGGGGAATCCCAGATGTGAAACAAGGTTGAAGGCCAATCCAGCTCTAAACCATAGGATATTGTGACTGATTGAGCATCTCAGCCCCTTGACAAAATATCATGGTAAGGAGATGCACTCAGTGTCGAGACCCTGCTCTTAGAAACCTGCCAGGAGGTGTATTCAGATGTGAGGTATGAGGAAAGCATTTATTAATGCTAGCAGGGAAATCAGTATCAGAAAATCATATTAGCTATTTTAGTACAGTGGACCCTCGACTTACAGACGGCTCAACTTACAGACTTTTCGAGTTACAGACTTCTCTGGCTGCAAAATTTAGATTCAACTTGCAGCCGGAGAATCGACCTACAGACCAGGGAAAAAAACAAAATGGAACAAAAACGGCCGGTTACAGATTAATCGTTTTTCAATGCATTGTAAGTCAATAGAGCTTCGACCTACAGATTTTACAACCTGCAGCCACTTTTCCAATACGGATTAATTCCGTAAGTCGAGGGTCCACTGTATGTTAATACATTTGCTAAAGTCTATTACATGTGGTTGTACAGTAAGAGTTTCAATGAGGATGAATCTTCTCATTAGTATCATGGCAAGATGACCAGAGCAGAATGCCCTTCTTGTAAAATAATTTCGATTTCAGGAAAAATGCACATGATAAAACTGCTCTGATGATAGAAAGCTGGCAAGAGTGTGGGTGTTATCACATTTGGTACACTGAACATCACCCATACAGTTATTTGCTTGCCACACAGAAGCTGTCAATATGTGGTCTACAGAGCCCCTTGTTCACAGTGAACTCATTTTGCTTCTTAGTGGCAAAGATATCTGACCTGGAGAAATTTAAAGAGGGAGAGAGATTGGTGGGTGAGACCTCTGGAGGTATGACAGGGTGTCCTCTCCCCTGGCTGACATCTGTCAGCTGTCGTGGATCATGGGAAAGAAAGGCATCACCTTAAGGAAGACAGATGTGATCCTTTAGGAGGGATCCATACCTTAAGGGTCAAACAGGCATCTACTAGTGGTAAGGATATGCCTTTGTGGGGTGGAGACCTCACAACTGTAGGGAATTTGATCTTTAGAGACATAGCTAGGTCTGGTGATGGGCACATAGCCCACATTACCTGTCTGGTGAAAGTTTTCAGATATTGCAAGTATTCTAACCAACCTAGTAGATAAAGTTAGGGTGGAGTCAGGAATCATGCTACATGTTGCGCTAATGAAGTTGTGGGTTGTTGGGTTAGAGGTTCTTACCAAAAATAAAATAAGCCTTCAGCAGTGACTGCAAAGGACATTAGTAATAAAAAGTGCTGAGTTAACGTGATCAGAGCAGCTGCAAAAGTACTTGGAAAGTATTTTGAGGCAGTTCTGGTATACAATAGTTACTGCAAATATTTTATTAAATATAGAGGGTATCTATTTTAGCTGTCAAGAATGGTTTGTGAGGGCTGTATAGGGAGCAGGCCACATCTAAAGTCCAGCTCAAATCATGACAGGCTGCTGAGTGTGAATTAAAACGGCAAGGCAAGGCAGCCTTGTCAAATAAATACTTTGATGATAATTCCTGGAGTACCATTAAAAGGGCAATAACAATGAAAAAAATATTCTCACTTTACAGTCACGGGGTATGTGTAGAAAGATGTGGCATTCAGATTTCTACATCCGGTACTAGAAACCTTTGCACCATCTCTAGTAAGAAGACAGGCAGTTTGAGACATACTGTTTTCTTTGTTAACTCACATTTATTAAAATACCTGCAGTATATAAAACCTGTACTAAATTTGGTTAGCCTTATTAAATGGGGGACAGAAAAAGTCCTTTCTCTTTATCTCTTGTGACTGTGTCTTCTTAGATATTGTACAACTGTTTTTAGAAGTATACCTCCTAAGCTAATCTTTTTAGAAGAGTATAAATATTCTGATTGGCTAAGACTGGGACAATTTTGTGACTTCCTTTAACACCTCCCCCAGCTGCCAAACAATTGGAAATACTGCCCCTCAGCTTGGGAGTGTATTAGAGATTCCACACTTAGCAGGCAAAAGCAGCAAAGCCTGCGATGTACCAGTTTCGGGCTTAATTCTTACCTTTACCATTCTGTTCCATCTTCAGGTAGAAACCATAACCATTTTCTCCTTTTTCAAGCTCAATACTTCGTGGTTTGAGGGGCAATAATTTTAGATTAGCCATGTCTCTTGTTAACGGGATGTTCTGTCCATTGTAGTACTGGTCACTTTCCTTATCTGATAGCAGAAACATAACTTTGTTCCCCGACTTTTTCACCTGGAACACAGAAATACGGACAGAAATTGTACTTCTGCCACCATATTGAGTAGAGGACAAATATGAAGAAAGTTCTAGTTTGAATGCAAGGAAAAACCAAGTCTACTAAAAACATTTTTCCCCCTCAAAGTACATTGATAGATGGTTTTTGTATGAAGTGCAGAGGAACTTACGTTGGTTTGGATCAATATATAAAATGGATTGAATTTTGTTTCAAGAGGACCCACTGAAATCAAAGATTCAAGTCATTACTAGCTTAAGTTCTATTCAATTCACTGTAAGTAAGATGGATCCAACCCAATGTTTAAAATATGGATTTGATTACTCTTCTACACTGACAGTGTTCAGACATTGTACGGCTTGGGTTCACTCAAGGTTACTCTCTCAGTTTGTATTCTAAGTGTACCCTCAGAACATTCACCTATGGAAGAAATCTCATCAATGTGTTAAAAAGAAAAAGAAAAAGGACTAGTACCTTCTCAACCACTTCCTCATGAGTATCGTTTTCCACATTCTCTCCATTGATTTCAATTAGACGGTCATTCGGCTTTACTCCAGCTTTTGCAGCTGGTCCTTGAAGTGACACATCTATGATGTACAATCCCTTCTCACCTGGAATAGAGAAGTGAACAAAGAGAATCTGAAGTAATTCTCTGCTGTTTGTATTCTGTGCTACTCGGAGATGATGCAGAAACAGTAATTGTGTAGAACAGTGACTCCCAACCTTTTTCACTTGTGTACCCCTTGGCAGCCCATTTCTATAACTTGAACCCTAAAATAGAAATTATCCAAAAGAACGCACCCATTGAATACTGCTCATGGGGCTGACTGAGGTGTCCACTTATATCTACTGTACACTGGTACCAACAGCACTTGAATGTTCACCAAGTAGAAAATTAAAGTGGAGCCTGTGAGCATGCACACTGTAGTGGCATGTTTGCAACACATTGTTTAGAGAGGAACTCCTTACTATTTGCCAAAATAACAAAGCAAGGGAATGGGGATTTTCTCGAGGTTAAATAATGAAGAACACCCACTCCACCACTTGTCATAACATTAAATTAATTACGAAACTCTTGACTTGTATCTTGTCATACACTGGTAATGTATGTGCCTTTTCCTGCCATTATTCAATTTTTACAATGTTCCCCTACCCCTACATATGTCTTGATTCCTACCCCTTGGGGTAAGCGTACCCATATTGGGAATCACTGGTTGATTGAAATTGTTGGTTGAAACTGCACTTGTAATGGTGGCAGACAAGTGATCAGACAAACAATAACAATTTTTCTTTTTGTGCATCAGTAATAAAAGAAGTAGATTATTAATTCTGTCTTGTCCAACCTTACTTTACATCTTGCCTAGTAGCACCTGGAGAAAAATGATAATGGTGTCTGATGCTTCTGGCCAAATGTGGTCCCATGGCAATGAATGTGAGAAGCTACCAAAATTTAAAAGTGACATTAGATTAGGCATCCTTCAGTCTTGAGAGACTATGGTAACGTGCTCTTTATGGAGGACTTGGAACACCATCTATTGTGGCTGAGGAGGCCAATTCAAGAGTGACAATCCCTTCCACACCAAAGACAAATACAATTTATTCCCTGTCCAGCTCCCTGTTTTGCTAGTTTTGGGACTACCTCTTTGCCTCAGCCTGCTGGACAAGGGTCTCTTCAAAATGGGAGAGGCCATGATGACTGCCTCCAGGCTGAATGCTCAGATGTTAATGTTTCCCATCTGTTGAAGTCCATTCCTAAGGCCTCCAGATCCCACTTGCAGATATCCTTGTATTGCAGCTGTGGCTGTCCATGCTAACTAAATCAAAGGCCTTCATGAGATCTATGAAGGCCACAAATAGTGGCTGTTGTTGTTCCCTACATTTCTCCTGCA